AACACTGGAGCTGTGGGAGGGAGCACCGGGGGAAAACAGGAGGACTCTATCCCAGGGGAAGGGGCAAGGACACACAGACCAGCGTCTCATCTGGAAGAGGGTCAGGAACACTCGCAAGGTCACACCCAGACTCAGGGTCACAACGCCTTCCTAGGAATATGGACCAAAGAATATGGACCTAGGGATATGGACTCTTTAGTCTAATGCCCTTCCCCAATTGAGAAATTGTCAGTTAAATAAAACATTTGAATGTACTTGTTTCTTAATGAATAGCATTTAAATAATATAAGTGTTGGTTATGAAATAATAATTTATATTACTAGTACAATTTTCATTTGGGATATATTCCTCTACCTAATGCAAAATCAACCGAGAAGGCAGAAGTTATTGCACTTATTAGAAATTGTAAATTAGCCAAAAACCAGAATTAAATACAGTAGCGCAGAATTCTAAAATGTGCTGCAGGCAGAGGAAGTTTTTGAATCTTCTGGAAGCCCCATCAAAGCAGACCACAAGAAAAGACACTTTTTAAGGAATTCCTACATGCTAGAGTCCTGACATACAAATTTGAAACCAAATGAAAACAAAGAGAAATAAAAAAATGTAGTGTGGAACCTGGAACAATGTTGTGGTGCATCATTTCACCAAACATCAGTCTTAACCTGGTGTGTAACATTATCTAAACATGGAAGGTACTGGCGTGTTTCATATCACACAGAATCAATCCCACTCACAATATTCTGGTTATGTTGATAAAATGGCATCTTTAAATTAAAAGATCATAAAACTTTAATAAAATACGGAAACTCTGTTGGCCAAAAGTTATCCCACTAGCATCCCTCGGAACACATCAGTTACTGCCCTATGACTGGGGAGCCGGAAGGTTCATACATTTAGAAATGTTACCCTCATCGCTCACTTTTGTCCTGTTGCATGCGTGTGTTACGCAATATTGAAAGTAATTTTTATATTATACTCACTCCAATCATCAAAAGTTTAAGATTACCTTTTTATGTCGTCTTTTAACTGTATTTTGTGATTTTCAACCATTAAGTTACATCTACTGGAAGAAACATCAGGACAACTTTCTGCTGTTGAAACGTGTTGGAATAAATCTTGTCAGGCACGGTTAACCGAAATACTGCAGAAAACATTCAGGGAGTCAATTCTTAGGTTGATAATTTGCAACTAAAGAATCAGTTCAGACCAGATGTGGTGGCTCATGCCTATAATTCCACTGCTTTGAAACGTAAAACCAGGGGAATCACATGAGACTAAGAGTTCGAGACCATCCTGGGCAACATAGAGAGACGCCATTTCTATGAAAGAACTTTTTTCAAAAAATCAGCTGGGTTTGGTGGTGCACCGCTCTAGTCCTAGATACTCAGGAGGCTGAGACAGAAGGATTGTGTGAGCCAGAAGTTCAAGGTTACAGTGAGCTGTGATTGTGCCACTGCACTCCAACCTGTGTGACAGAGTGAGAGCCTATCTCTAATGATAATAATAATAACTAAGAATTTTACACAATTGTAAGGCTACTCAAATAGTAGATATTAAACTGAATACTCTCAGGAATCCTCTGACCCTTGTGATGTTTTGGAGCAAATAATTCATCTAAGACATTCAGAATAGGTGGATGATTTTAGGTAGTGAAAAGTCTCCACAAAAGATATTGGAACAGGACTCTTGCATAATCCACTGCCCCGTGCCTTTCACCTCATTCTCCTCATTTTCCTCCCCTTTTTAATGATGTTTTGCTTATTCTTATAACCAGTCTTCTCCTTTTTTTGCAGACCTGGTTGTTGTCCACCCATATTGGACCCTGATCTTTTTTATTAATCATGATTTTTATAGGTGCTACATAGAACAAGTGATCAGACTTGTTCTGATGTCTAACTGCTGATAATGTAATGCTCATTGATCCATCATCTCTTTTCTTTCCCACACAAGGTGAATCTGGCTATGAATCACAGGAACTCCCTCATTTGATGCCATTTGGAGATTCAAACCCCACAAACTCCTTTCTGTGAGAGAGAACCCTCACTCTGCCTCCACCACCAAACCACTAGAGCAGCCCTGAGCTAGTCTCGTTTCTTGCTCGATCAAGCCATTTTGGACATTCCTGAGACACCAGCTCAATTCTCACAGAGATCCCAATTGTTAATTAACCTTTCTGTATTCACATGGGGGAGTGTGCGGCACCCACAGATGTGATATCCACATTACATTTTAGTTGTGATCTCTTGGCCTTTGTATGGTGTCGACTGGAGCAAACGTTGTGAGCTTGGTGTCACGGCTCTTAACCACAGGATACACCTGCTCCCTGAACCAACTCCAGGACACAGCTGGACATGCCTGGTGTGGTTTGATTAATTCCCATTGTGTAATGAAACCATGACATTATTTTATTGTATTCTAGTGTTTCCCTCAGAATATAGGTAGACTTAGGGTTTATTCACACCTATATTTGATTTCTCATATATATTTAATGAAATATTTAATTCTGTGTTGATAAATTTAAAATTTCTTAAATTTGAAGAGTGAAGTTTTTTTGTTTTTTTGTTTTGTTTTGTTTTGTTTTGTTTTTTTTGGGCAGAGTCTCGCTCTGTCACCCAGGGTGGAGTGCAGTTGCACGATCTCGGCTCATTGCAAGCTCTGCCTCCCAGGTTCACACCATTCTCCTGCCTCAGCTTCCTGAGTAGCTGGGACTACAGGTGCCAGCCATCAGGCCTGGCTCTTTTTTTATTTTTTTTAGTAGAGACAGGGTTTCACCACATTACCCAGGATGGTCTAGATCTCCTCACCTCGTAATCCGCCCATTTCAGCCTCCCAAAGTGCTGGGATTACCAGGCGTGAACCACCGCGCCCGGTCTGATGAGTGAGGTTCTTATGCCACTGTTCTGTGATTTTCTTTTTTCATTTCTCCTGTAAACTAATTTTCTACATATTCTATGTGTTTAAATTTGTAATAGTTTAATGAGGTGAAATTAGCAAATAGTAGCCCTCCCATGATGTGCACAATTTGACAAATAGTGACATATCCATTACCTTTCTCAACATAGAAAAAACTCAGCTACGTTCAATGTTTCCTTTTGTTTTCCTATAATTCCTGCTTCCCAACCTCCACTTCTCACACCACGTCCAGAGTCAACTACTGGTTTTCTTTATGTAAGATTAGACTACTTTTCATTTCATAGAATTTATAAAAGTGTAATAGTATGTATGTACTTGTATTTGTTTGTCTTATTTTATTCACCATACATACTTGTGAATTTACCCTTGCTGTTGAGTGTAGTCAGCAGTACCTGATTGTAACAGTGACTGTTTTTCCAGAGAATGAATTTACTACAATGTGTTTGCTAATTAAGTGTTTACTAATTAAGCTGCTTATTGATATTTGGATTGCTTTCAGTATGTGGTTATTATTTTAAAAAGTGTTATTATCTCAGGAAAGTACACAGTTGAGAAACATAAGGTTCTTCTTACAACAATATGAATAGCAGGTAAGCTGGAAAAATGGCACTTTAATCAATTGATTTCAACACATCAGGTAACTGAAGTTGTAGAATTCTGTGTGTGTGTGAGTTTGTGAGTGAAAGAGAAGGAGAGGAGAAGGGAGAATGAAGAGCTAGAGATCCTACATAACTGACCGTAATTTATGAGGTGCTCAAATAAATACAGGGACTCAGGGTCTTAATGGAAAAGGTCCACATAAGGTGGAGAGGACGACTCGATGCACCTACATATGGTTATATATTTCTATAAATGCCATTTTCTAATGCTACAAAGAATCACGTACATGAGAATAAACACAGTGGCGGGTGACCAGTGGTGAAATATGATGGTGATGCCAAACCCCATCTCCTGCACCTTTTCACCCAATTGCACCTGCCTTGATATGTGTCCTGAGGGCCCCCTGGTGTCTCGAGAGTCTCCTGCTCTTCCTGAGCTCCCCTGCAGGGAGGTTTGTGTCTGGGCTCACAATGACGTCCCCTTGCTGTGTCTTCAAGGCTGGTTCAACATATGCAAATCAATAAACGTAATCCAGCACATAAACAGAACCAAAGACAAAAACCACATGATTATCTCAATAGATGCAGAAAAGGCCTTTTACAAAATTCAACAGCCCTTCATGCTAAACACTCTCAATAAATTCGGTATTGATGGAACGTATCTCAAAATAATAAGAGCTATTTATGACAAACCCACAGTCAATATCATACTGAATGGGCAAAAATGGAAGCATTCCCTTTGAAAACTGGCACAAGACAGGGATGCCCTCTCTCACCACTCCTGTTCAACATAGTGTTGGAAGTTCTGGCTAGGAAAATCAGGCAGGAGAAATAAATAAAGGATATTCAATTAGGAAAAGAGGAAGTCAAATTGTCCCTGTTTGCAGATGACATGATTGTATATTTAGAAAACCCCATCGTCTCAGCCCAAAATCTCTTTACACTGATAAGCAACTTCAGCAAAGTCTCAGGATACAAAATCAATGTGCAAAAATCACACACATTCTTATATACACCAGTAACAGACAAACAGGGAGCCAAATCATGAATGAACTCCCATTCACAATTGCTTCAAAGAGAATAAAATACCTCGGAATCCAACTTATAAGGGATGTGAAGGACCTCTTCCAGGAGAACTACAAACCACAGCTCAATGAAATAAAAGAGGACACAAACAAATGGAAGACCATCCATTAAGACTCTTCTAGTCAGGGAATCCCCCTGAGGTTTCTGTCCTGGGTCTGATTGGAGAAGAACTGCTGAGCTTCCTCAGGACTCTGATCCTGGTGGCCATAATTGAGGCCGTTTCATCTCTGTAAACGTCAATCTGCATTTGGTGCATGTGAGAATAAGTCCTCATATTAAAATGATATTTTTAAAAATATGTGGAGATGACATTAGGAAGCACAGAATTCTAAACTTAAAGAGGTTCACTGGAGAAACCGTGAGTAGAAGACGAGGTCCCACATCCTGACAGGAAATCAGCCTCTATAGCACCTGCCTCTGGGGTTGACTCTGATCAGTGGGTCCCGAGCGCCCCCTGCCGCTGATTTCCCCTGAACGTCCCTGCAGGGAGGTTTGTGTCTGGGCTCACACTGACTTCCCCTCACTGTGTCTCTCGCACAGTAATACACAGCCGTGTCCTCGGCTCTCAGGCTGTTCATTTGCAGATACAGCGTGTTCTTGGAATTGTCTCTGGAGATGGTGAATCGGCCCTTGACAGAGTCTGGGTAGTATGTGCTACTACCACTACCACTGCTAATACGTGAGACCCACTCCAGACCCTTCCCTGGAGCCTGGCGGACCCAGTCCATGTAGTAGTCACTGAAGGTGAATCCAGAGGCTGCACAGGAGAGTCTCAGGGACCCCCCAGGCTGTACCAAGCCTCCCCCAGACTCCACCAGCTGCACCTCACACTGGACACCTGCAAACAAGAAGAAACCCCGGTCAGAAACTTCTACATGAATCCACTGTTTATCTCACTCTTATCCATTCACACTCAATTTCAATAGTTCTCAATGAATTACCTTTTAAAATAGCAACAAGAAAAACCCAGCTTAGTCCAAACTCCATGGTGCGTCCTCTGTGGTCCGTCCTGATCACCAAATGAAAACACCTGAAAATCCCAGGTCTGGGCCTCCTGTCCCAGAGCTGCAGGGTCAGGTCTGGGCTGGTTTTCATCAGCAGAGGGAGGGCTCTATTTGCATGTCTTCTACTATTTAGCAAGCTCTGGGGTGAGAGGCCTGTGGAGAGAGTGGGGCTCAGAGCATGGGAGAGTGTCCTGGGGGAGATATTGATAGCATTTGGAAATTGTGGTTACTTATTGAAAGTTTGTTCTGTGATAAAATATTAAAACCTATAAAACTTATGATTTTGTAATTTCTATTTTAAAACAGTGGTATTGAGATACAATCGATCTACATAAACTGTATATTTAAAGTTAGTGCCAATCATCTTTTATTTTTACATATGTAGAGGAAACATGGTATGTGGTATCAATGCCATATCCATGTTACAGATGAGAAATTACCAGCAAAAGCACAGATGGATTGTACAATGTCCCTGGAGCTCACATTTGGTCAGAGTGAGCCTGAGTATCTGGGCCTGTGCTTCTCACCACTGGACCTGACTGCTCCCTGAACCAAGCCCAGCACACAGGGGTCGCAGCTAGTGAGGTTTGCAGAACCTCTTCTCTGTAATGAGAACATGGTGTGATGTGTATGCACTGTTGTGATTACCTAATAATTGTAAAGAAATGCATATTTCCCACAGTTTTATTTTCTTAGGTGTCATGCATTTTCTCATGTTAGCATCTTTCCATCAATCTTTATTGAACAAATTATCTATCCACTTATTTGCAATATTCTTGTTGAGGCATTTTTGCTATGCAATAAATATTGCTTAATTAAAGTGTGCATTTTAATAAGCACTGAAGTTGAGCATGGTCTTACATACCAGTATTCCCACCTATGTATGGCAGCGGGAGGAGGGTTGGTGGAGACCCAGGGTCTGAGGCTGCAGAGAGCTATGATCTCACCACTGAGATCCAGCCTGGATGACAAAGCAACACCATGTCTCCAAAGGAAAAAATGTAATTTCACATGTGCTCACCTGTGCATCCCAAATAACAATCAAGGTAACGATGAACCACACTTAAAAGTTTCCCTGGGTTCCTCCAATTCCTGCCTCCCAGTCATTTTTCTCTCACCGTACTGAGTCAATCTCTCATGTTTGTTACTTCAGATCTATTCTTCAAGATTTGGTTAAAGTGAAATTTTGCAGTTTCCATTCCATTTGTGTGGCTTCTTGTTCAGCATAATTACTTGAGAGTCAGTAATTTGGTTGTGTATGAAGAATGTGTTCATTGTAATGAGGAACAGTATTCCAGTTAATGAGTGCACCCCTGCTATTTATAAAGCTCCTTAATATTTTTGTTATTTCCAGTTTCTGAGTGTTACAAATAAAGCTTCTACTCAGCCTGGAGATGCAGGCATCCCAGAAGAAAATGTATTATTTTTACAACAACTAACCTTACTGAGCTGCAAATTAGCACATTTTCTTTAAAACATCAGATTATTGATGTTATAGGATAAACAAGGGACCTTATATCTTGTGAAAGTCAGTGACCTGCAGGAACAAACAGGAAGAGAATATGACCTTATCTGGGGCAGAGGCCAGCAAATGTCATGTAAGTGAATGCAGGGTTAACTTAGACATATTCTTCAGATTGTTTAGAGTTGAGTATAGTAAAGAAGTTATTGTTTAAATTATCAGAGGACATACAACTGAGGATTCCTACTACTATTGAAACCTTTTCTGCCAGGATTGAGGACACATCACAAAAATCTCCCCCCCACCCCCAAGATGTTTCTGTGTGGGAAAGTGGAACAGCAGCTGTGGCTGAAATGCATCCAGACCCACCTCCCCTGCCACCAGGACCTTACCAAAGAATTAACATGAAGGGGCAAAGCCACTAACACCTCTGTGTTACAGGCACTGGAGGAACTCATGGAAACTGGGATAGAAGAAAGAAAAGCCTCAAAGCTCTGTCCATTTTTTCAGGAATAACAGCCTCATCTCCCGCCTTCTCTCTCTTCCCTCAGAAAAAACAGCCTCATCTCCCGCCTTTTCTCTCTTCCCTCAGAAAAAACAGCCTCATCCTGCTGCCAAAGGCAGAAAAGAGGAAGCCGAAGACATCAGTGGGAAGACATAGTGGCTGCTGGAAGAAGATCTGGGAAAAAACAAGAAGACCCTCTTCCCAGGAATGGGAGGAAGATGCATGGATCAGCATCACACCCACAGGATGGGCAGGGATACTTGGAAGGACACACCGAGTCGGGACTGTGATGTCTGCCTGGAATATGGCTCCCTCAGAAGGACAGAAAGTGTCCGTTCAGTGCAACCCCTCCCACCACATTGACAATTGTCAGGTCCTTGTGAGTCTGGGATGACCTGGGGACCTGAAAGACAGAATCTTTCCGGATGACACAGGATTAAGGCCCAAAGCCAAGCAGGAAACAAAATTAAGGCTTCACTGAAGGAATCTGGGTGTCTGCTAGCTGCAGAGGAAACCCACTGCAATTCTGGCACCCACTGCAGTAAGGACTTTCAAATGTAGCCCTGAGTAGTTTCACACAATTTTCCACAATAAAGGCATAGAAGAGATAGGGCATGATCATCTACAAAAAAAAAAATCATAAAACAAATTGTGATCGTCTACAAAAATACAAAAATCATAAGCAAATGATTAGCTGACATAAGGAATCTGACAGCAGTATCTGTGGAATGTAAATTTTGAAATAGCTGCAGAAATACTTTGAAACATTTACACTTGATCCCTCAGAAGGTCTCTGTGTAACTTTGTAAGAAATTGCCAACATGTGCTTATTTTAATAACTAATGTTTGTTAATATCATGCTTGTGGATGTAACAAAGACCACAGAGTAGTTTCTATTAGAACTATTAATAAAAAGCCAAGTTCAAAACATTTAGAGAGATTTATTCTGAGCCAAATGTGAGGGCCATTCCCTGTGACACAGTCCCACAAGATCTTGAGAACATGTGCCCAAAGTGGCTTGATTTCAGGTTAAATTTAACAACATCAATCAATACATGTGAGATATATGTTGACTCGGTCCATAAAGACAAAACCGCTAGAAGTGAGGCAGTGTGGGGAGGAGATTACAGCTTACAGGTGAATTAAATGATTTTCTAATTGGCAACTGATTGAAAGACTTAAATTTTCATCTAAAGACCTGAAAGCAGAACAAAAAAAATTGTCTGGGTTAAGATAACGGGTTTTTTAGAACAAAATTCTTTTTAGGTAGATGAAGTCTCTTATGTGACCAACCTTAGAGGCCATAGACAGCAAATATTTTCTATTAAGAGATTTAAAAGATACTAGACTCTCAGCTAACCTCCTCAGTATAACACAAACACCTTGAAAGGGAAGCAGATTATCCACAGAATGTAAATTTCTCTTGCAAAATGATAACTGTGCAGGGCGATTTTAAAATATGTCAAAGAAATATATTTTAGGGTAAAAGACTTTAATTCCTTTCAAGGCCTGCTCTCTGTCATGTGATGCTATTCTTGAGTCATGTTAGAATTTGGTATTTTACTGCTGCACGGAATCTGTTTTCTGAGCCTTAAGATCTGTTTTAATGAAAGTGTTGGTTACTTGTGCTTAAATTCCAAAGGCATGAATGTATAATGAGGCATTTCTGATCCTCTATTTCTAACACGGCCTAAACTAGGTTTTCAAGTGTCCACGGAACTCCTTGTTGAAGAGGAAGGTTCCATTGAGTCAGCTGGGTGCTTAGAATTCTACTTTTAATTCATAGGAGATATATGAGACTTCTCCTACTCAGGGGTATCAGAAAACATTTACTGAGATAATCACATTGAAGTTGAGACTTAAAAGATTGTCCCAGATTCCTCCCTGCAAACCTTTTCTCCCGAGACTAGAAGAAAACTTACCAGCAACAACTGTTAACATTTCTTCTATGTTCAAAATCGCCACCCACTAGGAAAATAATTAAACTTGGGAGACTTTAGAAACAAGTAGTCTAGTTGGTTTCTAAAGTCCTTTACAAACCCACAGATTCTGATTAGTTTAAAGATTATGCAGAACATCACTTCTAATGGGAATCAGCAATTAGCTGGATTCCCCTGCACTGTTTTTAAAACTTGTTTATATAGATACAGAATGGTTCAAAACCTTTAAGGGTGCATGATATTTTTATAAAAGTATATTATTTGCAGTGATCAAATCCAGATACCTGGGATATCCTTCACCTCAATCATTGATTATTTCTTTGTGTTAAGAACATTCTAAATCTTATCTTCTAGTTATTCTGTAATATACAATGAATTATTAACTGTAGTTGTGTATGTGCCACTTCAGCATCCCCTTCCCACCAGCAAGGAGGGAACGTTCCTGTTTTTCAACTTCCGCATCACAATTTGGTACTGTCTATATTGTGTATTTTCCCATTGTAACAGGACATTAGTATTATTTGAATATTAAACATACAAATACCTGAAAATCATGCGGATCACTTTTTATATTTATTTTTAGATAAGGCTTCTTTCTATTCAGGTCTTTGCCTATTTAAAATTAAATTGTGTGGTTTTGTTGTTGTTCAATTGTAAGGTAATTTTTATTATGCGTGATAAAAGTCCTTTTCCAAATATTTGATTTGTGAGGAAGTTCTCCAAATCTATGGCTTATCTTTTCACGCTCATGTAAGGATTTATTTTCAAAGGCCTAAGCTTGCTAGATTAAGCCATGACCAGAGGATTATCTTACAATGATATCGCTAAAGGCCTCTTCACAGCAGTTTCTTTCACCTGATGCATAATTTCTTCCTATGAAAATCATGATATATACTAAAGGAAATATATCATAGTGTGACAAGGCAGAACAAGCTTTAAAATGAGACTCAACTATGCCTTTTATGTTGGAATTACCAAACAAAGAATTTCAGACCACCATGAGTAATATGCTAAGGGCTGTAATGAATTAAGCAGACAGCATGCAGGAACAGCTGTGTCATGCAAGTAGAGTGATGCAAATTCTAATAAAGAAAAAAAAGTAGATATCAATAATTTTGTAGCAGAATCAAGTAATGCTTTCAATGGACTTA